TTTCTAGTGATTCTAGTGTCTGATTATCTTCCATGTGCCACTCAAAACACCGCTGACGCAGCAATGAATCTTCCATGCCTCATGGCCATCCAAAAGCTTCAGCATGGGTGTGTGACGTGTTGCACAAGGGAGACCGACCCCTGTTGAACCCGAAGGGAAACCGACTAGTCACCGAACATACTTGGGGGGACCTCACTCACCGACCCACCTCTTCCGACCCCCGAAAAGACCCCTTCAACCCATCATGGTGTCACTCTGCAGGCCCAGCTGGATGGGTTCACATCGCTTCGCACCAGCGAGATGCTAGCGAGCTTCGAAGCTCCCGCTGCAAATAGCTCCCACTGCAACACAACATGTTTGTTGCCACCGTCACATTCCCCACAGAATAACATTAACCGTGAACATGGACCCTTGTAAGACCATTCTCATCTACCACCCAGTGGTTTTCAGGGTCCACGTTATACTCTGCAGGAGAGTATACTCTAACTCCATCTTCTGTAGCCATCCGAAACTCATCGTAGCATATAGCGACTACTATCAACAATCGGTCCTTCCGAGAGGATCCATGGAAAGTAAGCTTTATACTACCCCTTGAAAATGACCCCCCAAATAGGTAACCCTTCAATACGCGGAGTGACTCACGGAGTGGGACTGGGCTTCGTTGAGTCGGATGAGCGTGACCATCGGGTGAGGTGCGATCCCAAACGTCTGGTGTTCGAAAAAAACCGTCACCGCCCCCTCCAACAAACAAGGGAAGTGGACAAACCATGACAAACCTCTTTTGTTTGTAGATGATTTCATGGGAGCACGCCATGTTCTTCCAATGATTGTTGAAGGGAGTGTACTTAATCTATCTGCAGGTTAAACTCATGCAATCCACTGAAAGTATGGCGTCTCCAAAAATACTCCAAAAAATAGCCACTCACTACGAGTAGCATGGATTTGCTCGACTCAAGGAATTTGGAAACTTTACAGTAAGTTGCAACCACTCCCAGAAAGGGAGCAAATAAAGCCACCCCACGCCCCACGCCCCACGCAAAGCTGGAGATTGAAGGATGCCACATGAGATCCACAAACAATTCACCCTTTCCAATTGAGGCTTGCTCGCTTAACTCAAACGCCACGGCTATTATACTTTAGTTCGCTCAAATCGATCCGATGGGTCCTGGCAGCCCTGCTTTCACAAGGCACATGCAATTGGGATGATAGCTGACCATCGATTTCAGTGTATTCTTCTTGGGGGGCGCACCGCGGTTGACATCAAACCATATCAAACCAAACCACGCGGGCTTCGCACTACCTCACCTCTTCAACTTCAGCACCTGTCGCGGGCATCCCCCGTCGCCTGCGGCTCAGGCTCTCAGTGGCTGCCGAAAACCCAAAGGAGAGGTCCGGTCCTGCAAGATGAAACATGATGAAAAGGAGACAGGCGGTTGCCGGAACGTCCACTGATTGCACCACCCAAATGGAGCTCCAAAAGGAAACCAAGTGAAACTTAGAACCTGAACATGGACCACTGCTTGTAAAATGGACCAAGCCACATCTTCGAGTCCTGGGGAGTGAGCGAGGACATGCCGAATTGGACTCCTGACCCAATCCGCAAAGTAGGTCATTCCAAGATGCCCGTCACTCGGAATCAAGACTCCCGACCCGGACCGCGAGGACCGACCGGGATTTGGGGATCTGATTTGGGAGTTTTCACGAGTGACCAGGCGTGTGAAATCTCACGCTTTCCCCAACTATCATCAACTATCAACGTTGGTATTCTTCGCTGCTGGGAGGTTCCCATGATCGAACGAGATGCAAGAGTCGCAACTCGCAAAAGGATCTGACTGTTCCCTGGGGCTCTAACCATATCCTCAGAAGGTGGTTAGACACCCCAAACCCACCCCAACCACCTTCTCAGGAGGTAGTTGGAGCCCTAGGGGTTCATCCAACTGCACCGTCTCCTCCACTCATCGCCCCAGTCCCGCGTCTCGAAGGCCCGGGTTTGGCGAGGCCTGGTCCTTCACATCATCTTCACGGAGGCTATGGAACGGCTCAAAGGCTAGTTCAAATCCCTTGCAAGAAACTATAGTGTGCTGAGTTCCCTTGCAGTTGCCAACGAGCTGCATTGGTCCGGATCTGAAAAAGAGGCTTGCATTATTTTTGCCGTGGATGTTGGATGCGCATCAAATGATGACGTGCCCCCTCGCGTTCTCATCAACGCAACAGATGCAAATGTTCGGTGACACCTGCCGGGCTGTTTAGCAGCAAGCGATGTTGTGGTGTGCAACACTGAGGGGATTAGACAAATGAACGACTGTGCAAAGCACATCAAGTATACTACCAGGGCCCCCTAAAGGGAGCTATAATTAGACACTCCTTAGGGGGCCCTGGTATTACATATCATGAATCTATGCATTTTCAAGCATTTTCCCTGTTTGCAGTAAGATGCGGAGTGGCTGAGGGCAACGACTGGCAGTTTCAATGGATGTGGTTCCGTGGTTGATCACATGCGCTGGCAGAGTGGCTCATGACGAAGCCAAAATTAAGAAAGGCACATCAAGGCATGCAGACAAGATCTGTCCAAACCAGTGGGAGAAGCGACCCAGTGGTTGGGATATTCATCGGAGGCTTCAATCATCCTGGTGCCCAAGAGCTCTGATGTCGGCACTTTGCTGGATGCTTTGGTCCGGACTTTCGGCAAGAGAGTCATACAGATTTGCAAGACTTTGGCAGCCAAGATCAAGGCTCTGCATGTGGTTCTCACATGGAACAGGGGTGCTCTTGCACAACAAAAATACCAACTGTATAGAACTGACTTTGCTCTGCACAGGTTCGGTGCGAAACATCGTGGGATTGTCGTGTGTTTGTGGCTTTGCATGTCGTCCGATGTGTTGTTTGGGGGAGTTTTCCCCCAAACAACGGGAGGATCCGGTCGCTGCTTCACCCTCTTGACCTACACAGGGCAAGCGTCCTCGGGTCTAATTCGGGGAAGCGAACTGGCCCATGTGTTTCAGCGAGCCCAGCCGCCTTCAGCGAACGCGTTCGGCAGAATCCACTGACATCTTCGTCGCCAAGGAGCTGGGGCTTTTAGGATTGAACACGTGGAACACCCGCCACGGTGGCGGACTCTCGCCACGGGCTCCGTGAACAGCCAGCGCCAGCTTCACCATCACCTGCCGCGGTTAGTTTATGGCGACTCAAAAAAAGACGGATCGCGGCGACTGAAAACAACCTGGACTCTCCAAAGTACTTATATAGAACATATAGGAGTGACATATGACCTTAATTGACAAGACATGGTGTTTGGTATGTGTTTTGTTGTTCATTTTTTGGAGGGTGCCTGTGCATGTCACAAACAACATGTTCTGCGTGTGTTTTCAAGCATGTCATAGCGTGTCCACTGTGCACAGTTTATCTGTCAAGACGTTCTGTTCAAAGTCACCACTTGCAACGCCTGAGCATTAAAACACAATGTATATATGGTGTTCCTTTGGGCGTCGTGTCATCTTCTCTCTCGTTGAAATCATGGCACCGCATGGATGGCCCTGCCCCCTCTGAACAAACTCCTAACAACTCTGCAGTAATTGTTCGGGGTCCATGTTGGCCGGAAAGGTCAAGCACCATATTCATAACATTTTCCCAGTTATATAGTCCCTAGGGCTCCAACTATATCCTCAGGTGGTCAGACCCCCCTGGCACCCACCCCTGTCCCATCTTCGAAACAGAGGTGGGCCAGGAGCCCAAACGGGAGCGTATGGAGCTCACCTCGAGTTGGTGTCATTCACCCCCGCAAGACGTGAGAGCTCGCCGATGAATTCTCCGGTGTTTTCTCACGAAAAATGCCTCCGATGCATCGACCATGGCCGAGGCACCACAGGATGTCACAGGGCAATCGAAATGATCGACAATATATCAATCGATGGGTCTCAACTGAGTCTCAACGACCTAATTACCTCTAATTACTTCACCCAACATGCTGTTTGAGCCCAGTGGATCCCAGGACCAGGGTTCGTTCGGTCTATGGCTTTAGTCGAACTGGAGCCACTGGTTACCCACGAACGTTCGTGGTTTGCCTGGATCCACTGGTGACCGTCCATCGAAAAAGCCCTCCTGAGTGCCTCCTGAGGTGCGGAAAAAAAACGCTCTGAACCGTGGGGCCCAGTCCCATCCTCCACCCCTCCTGTGCAGCGTGATCCACTGGAGTGATATCGCACTTGAAGGGCGCGCTCGGTGCGCAACGGAGGCGGGCACAGGCGGTCAGAAAGCGCGTGGGGAAGAAGTTCGGCCACACCGGAAGGCCTGCAGAACAGCAGGAACAGCAGGAAGCTGGTGTGGTCACAAGTACTTCAAGCAATTACTTCATGACCACTTCAGCAAAGGACCCGTCGCAAGTACGTTCATTCATGTCCTTATTTGGACTCTGGCCGCTGCGTTGAGGTCAGGCTACGTTCATTCGCTCTACGTTGGGGTTCCCGCACCGTGCACCAACACATCGACGGAACGGCTGCAGAGCATGTCGGTGTCCCACCTGTGCTGGAATGGGCCCAGAGCATGCCAGGGCGGAAGATGACCCCTGCGACGCCGCACGCGAAGGCTCGGTGCACATAACGTTCCGCTGCCAGCTTGGAGAGCACATAGCCATTGGACAGGACCTGCGTCTCGAGCCGTGAGCCGTTAACTTCAGCCTCCCGAGCTAGACGTATTGGTTGGAGGGCTCCATGTTTTGTGGCCAACTGGGAAATACTCAAAAAACATCACAGGTCCATATAGGAACACCTGGATGAATCTCACTCCGCATGTAGGCTTGGTCATCAATGACGAGACACTCTTGGTTTAGTTGGTGCAACTGCAACTACGTGTCTCAGTCAATGGTTTGCGCTTCCCAATGAAGTTGTTTGTAACCAAACATGCAGAGGAATCAAGCAGTGAAGTAAAGGAAGCTCCTGACATCAGGTAACTCTAAGTCAGACCGCCAAGCCTTTCTTCCCCTCGGGATCCAGGTCTATACCTTCTCAGGTTCGGTACGTACGGTACGACTGCACCCTCCTGGCACCTACATGAGAGTGTCGAACACATCACCGTACCTGAGAAGGTAAGTACTTGGATCCCTAATATAGGGCTTTTATACCAGCACCCTCCAACAGGTCTCCTTTGGAGGGTTGTAAGGCCCTAAGAGGTCTCAATTGTTGACCCCTCTCCTGCAGGCCTTTCACGTCTGGGCATCTGTTCCGTCTCAGGCCTTTCGATGTTCGGCCACGCTCGTCCGTACCCACGGCCCGGTCCCTTCGTCCGTTCGGCTCAGCGACGACGGACGGTCCCCGAGTGGAGCTTTGCAAACAGGGGGCTTTCCGAAATGAGCAAATCCCAGTGGCTGAGGTCACGGCAAGGTCTTGAAGAGGTCACTTAAGAATAAACATCCCGAAGTGAAGACTCACATCACTGAGAAGGTGGGAGCGGCTCACGTCTCTTCAATCCTTCCTTGGATCATCACCCTCCTAATTGGAAACGAACCTTTGACATCCTTTGGCCATCTTTGAGCAAAATCAATTCAACCCTAACTACCCATGTTGGTGCAATGCTACCAAACAAACATATCACATTACTTAGCATTCAATTGGCGCGCAACAAAAACACGGAAGATTCACGGCGCCTCGGCCGTGCCGACCCTTCACGGCCTCACACGACCTGTGCCGAGTCGCCTCTGGCGACTTGAAGCTGCTCTCACTCTGCTCGGCCACCGAGATGGTGGAAATGAAGAAAAGGGGGGGCGCCTGCCGGTCGGTCCAGCTCGATGGTCCAAGGTGAAAGCCATCTGAGATGGTGACCTACATACATGCACCTGAACGGTCACCTGATAACTGTTAGTTTTTGTGACGATGATAAAAAAGAAGGATCAAAGTCCATCTGGGAGTCTATCATGGTCCTCCACTCCAACAAACATGGGCAAATATTGTGCAGGATGTGTCTCAGAAGGTGGTGGCCCGGCGGCCTTGTTCCACCAGTTGGAGCGGTTAGAGGACGGCAATCAAGTGGTGAACGCCAAATCTCCGACTCCACAAATGGTCAGCGAGTCAGAAACAAAGGCAACAGGTTTCGTACATTACATATACCACGGCCATACCTGGAAGAGGAATCTCAGAGTAAGTAAGAGGTCGAGTGACTTAAGTTTGCTTAAGCCTTCAGTTTCCTCTCTTTGCTCGGAAGAGGAAACGGATCTCCGCAAACTCTCTTGCTTTCTTGAAGAAGCATATGCCAGCACCTTGCCAGCACCGTGTCTCTGAATTCGGAAGGCCCAAAAAACGACTCGCGCATCTTCATCGAAGAACCCCCTTTTTCAAGGGCAGAAACTCAACGAAGCCGTCGATCCGACCGCCGACCGCCTCTTTCGGCGCACAACTGAACGATCTGCCAGGTGCCAACGACATTACCTGGCCCACTGGGATGGGCGGCGCCACACCCCCAAGCCGAGACGCACCGGAAAGACGAGATGGAGAAGACCTGGTTGTTAACGGCAGGTTCGCTCCAAATCACGGAAGCTGGGACTTCTACACCCCCCTCCCTTCAAAAATTGGCGAACCTTCTTCTCAAATTGTCAGTTTACACTAGGAACCTTGCCAGGTCATCAAAGAGCTGGCAATTTGCTTCTACGGTTCATCTTCACTCCACCTGGCTAGACTTTCACGTTATAATATAGTCCAATCTATTTGCAAGTGAGTCTTTTCCAAATGGGGAGTGAGTCTTACTCCCTGCCCGTCCATACTTCGTTGCACCTGATGGCCCAGGAATGCCCAGGTAGGCACTGAAAGGACTGTAAGTCTGATGATTTAGATATTCAAACCTCAAGGACAGAATGTCTGATGTTTTAAACATCCACAGAGGCAGAATGTTCTCATGTGTTTTCAGACAAGTCTTTT